TCTCGACCCGTGCACTTGCGGCATAAGATTCGACCGAACAGCAAGTGAAGATGCGAGCAGTTCTCGTGCAAATGGATTTGAAGAAAGCCTTGCTTAGCTTTGATAAGATGCCTGTAATCTAGATGTAGGATGAAAGTAGCGTAGGGACTTGAAAGCCCAATCTTAAATTCATCTACATCTATGAAATCAAGTTCTCTAGGATGTTCTAAAGGAGAAAAGTGCCCCTATGATGTTCGATAGGGCTATTAGAATATTTACAGATGTAAGTCATATTCTAGAAGTGAAGCGGAATCTTATATTTTTTAGTGCACTTAACTTAAAGGGTTACAGATACTAGTGAAGGTAGAGTTTTGAAGGTATGTCGGAGTGCTCTTGTTGTCATGAAAGAGCATAAAAGTTCTATATAGTTGTACATTTTGTAGGGTTCCACAGTTATAGGGGATGTAGGAGTTTTTACTTCTTCTTTGATAAATGAAGAAATTATAGAACTTAGGCATATGTGGCTTGGGCATATGAGTGAGAATTAAATGGTAAAGTTGAATAGGAGTGACTTCTTGATTGGCAGAAGACCAATAAGATGAAGTTTTGTGAGCATTGTGTTTTTAGAAAACATAAAAGGGTCGGATTCTCTAAACGAAGACACGACACGAAGGGAACACTTGAGTATTTTCATTCAGATCTTTGGGGACCGACTATGATGCTTTCTAAAGAAGGTACTTATGATTTCTCTAGAAAAGTTTGTGTATTATTCTAGAAACAAAAGAGTAATGTGTTTATGACTTTCAAATATTGGAAAACACTGATAGAAAAACAGATTAGAAAGCAGGTGAAACGTCTATGCACAAATAATAGGTTGGAGTTTTGTTCAAATGAATTCAATAGCTTCATAGGGCAGAAGGCACCTGGATACTTGACAGTGCATGGAACTCTTCAACATGATGGTGTAGTAGAGCGGATGAATAGAACTTTGATGGAAAAAGTTAATTGTATGTTTCCAAATTCTAGGTTGCCTAAGACTTTTTGTGTTGAATCTACTACTACAGCTTGTTTTTTGATTAATCGTTCACTCTTAGTTGTCATTGAGAAAAAGACACCAAAAGATGTATGGTCTAGTTAACCTTCTTGTTATTCTGATTTGAAGATTTTTTTTTGTGTCCTACTTATGCTCACATAGATAATGGAAAGTTGGAACATAAGTCTAGAAATTATATATTTTTAGGTATAAATCAGCTGTGAAGGGGTATAAATTGTGGTGTCTTAAGACAAGAAATGTGGTGGTTAGTAGAGATGTGGTACTTGATGTACTTGCTATGTTCATGGTTCACCTTGTAGGGATTCTGATAAAATTGAGGAACATAATCACTCAACTCAGCTGGAGTTGGAAATTGGTCCAATGGAACAATCAGAGGTTTTAAAATAGTTGAGTTCAAAGCTGACAAACAGTAATACTTTGTCTACACCATTAGTAACACCACATTATTCATTTGTTAAGGATAGACCTCGCAGATAGGTTAGACCTCTACAGAAGTTAGAGAAGCAGATTTGATAGCTTATGCATGAAGCAAATTTGGTAGCTTTTGGATTGTGTAGCTCACAATATTAATTCCATCGAGGAGCCTGCTACATATTCAGAGGCACAAAGTTGCATTGATTCTAGCAGATGGTTGATTGCTATGTAGGAGAAGATGAAATTATTGAATAAAAATAATATTTTGGACTTTGTGAAATTACTTAAGGATAAAAAGATTGTGCATTGCAAATGGGTGTTCAAAAGGAAGGAAGACACATTAGGGATTGAAGATGCAAGGTATAAGGTCAAATTGGTAGCGAAGTGCTACAGTTAGATTCCAGGTATTACTTCACATATATGTTCTCACCAGTAGTAAAACATAGCTCAATTAGAGCTTTACTTGGGGTTGTGGCTAAAGCAAACTTGGAGTTTGAGCATATCATAAACAATAGAGTGTTAACAAAGAAAAAAACTCACTTTTCTTTATATTAAATGCGGAACGATGGAATAAACTTCTTTATAAAAAAAAAATTGAAATATTCATAAATTTAAATTAAAACATGGAAATTGTATCTTTAAAAAAATATAATCACCTGACTAATTAAATAACATATTTTTGAACAAACTAAACTAATAAATTGGAGAATCGAAAAACTTAAATGTTTATTTTCCTCAATTCATTGGTAGCCCGTATCACCATCCAACAACGAATCTAATCGACTACTCTTTAGTGAGTATTTAAAAATCCTCATTAAAATACATACAGTTTTCACATACAACTATATAAAAATCAATTTAAACGCTTCATACTACTCTTCTCTTATGAAGTATATCGGTGACCAACTGACATACTCATCTTATGTCATTTTGAATTCTCAAATGATTTCATATTTCTTTATAAAGAATCCGAATATCCATTGGGAATTCATGCATAAATGGCTGAATGCATAAAGGTTTACGAAAACAAACCACTCGCACATAAATTTAGGAGCTATATGTCGATTTTCATGCAACTGGGAATGTCTGGCTTGTGGTGGTAGTGGTTGAGGGAGATTGAGAAGATGGGCTGGTATACGATGGAGGTGTTGAAGAAGATGAGTTACTTGTGATTTTAATTTATGTTTCATTAACATTATATATTTTCTACTTGTACGTTTGAAATGTAACAAACATACTACTCAAAGATTATTTTAGCAACATTTTTTTTTGTTTTTCGAAACTAAGAGTATAAGGGTCCGTTTGATTGCAAGAATGAAATTTGGGTGAAAAGAAAATGAATTTCAGGGAATTGAATTGCTTAGAACTTGTTTTACTGAGAATTGTCAATTAATTGTGTTTGATTGGTATAATTTTTTACCTAAAAAATATTGAAATTTTGGATCTTTTGATATTCGTTTGACTTTATTTTTCATGAAAATTGTCCATTAAATGGATATAATTTGTTACAATTGGGGATAAAAATTGTTTCCATTGCCAAAAAAAAAGGAAAAAGTTGCCTAAAAAAACTTTTCCCACCAAAGTGGTGAGAAAAATTTTTCCTCAAAAATCAAGAAAAATGACCAAAAAGAGGGTTGGGTGGAAAACCATTTATCAAGAAAAATTTGCCTATCAAATAAGAAAAAATGTGGAAAATGGAAAACCAATTCCTAGTTCAATGGAAAATAAAATACTATCAAATAGAGCCTAAGTGAAAGGTTACGAAGTAAAATGATTTGCCTTAAAAGTTGGAGGTGAAAATATAATACACGCAATAAGTTGGGAACTTTTGTTGCTAATTTTCTTCATTAATATATGTGTTTATGTTCCAAAGAAAAAATATTGTACATTGTTTTGCCATTTATTCAAATAATAATTTTAAGGGATATGCTACAAGTACAGGATTTTAAAAATCCTGTACTTACACACCACACACAATAGGGGGGTGGGTGGGGGAGTTTTGGCAATTTTTTAATCACATGGGGCCCACTCCCATGTGAGATAGAGTTTGAATTCCTGTGAAAATTTTGGTAATTCTATCCTGTACTCCAAGCTTTATTCTAATTTTAAATCTACAAGGCGTCGGGCCTATTTCGGGCCTGGCTAGGCTTTTCCTGGCCCGTACTTGCATATTGATAGTTGGCACACCAATAAATTTCCCCTTTCTATCCAATCTAATCCCTAATCTGTAAAATACTCGCAGTATTCATTGGATCATTTGATTGCAGAAAAATGACGGAGGCGGTGATTCGGAAGAAGGCAGGGATGGCAAGCATTAAGGACATGCCGGTACTTCAAGACGGCCCGCCGCCGGGCGGGTTCGCTCCGGTCCGGTTCGCACGTCGTATCCCCAGCAAGGGTCCCAGCGCCATGGCCATTTTCCTTGCGGCTTTTGGCGCCTTCTCCTGGGGCATGTACCAAGTCGGTAAAGGCAACAAGATCCGCAGGTAATCCCTCCGCCATTTCTCACTCTACAGACACAGTATATATATCTGTTTATGTAAAGTCATCATGTTCAAATTGAGCGTTTGAAGAATCTTAATGGTTTGATTTAGGGATAAAGATTTATTGACTGTGTAATTTCAGCAAGACCTTAGGTTAGAATTACAGAAGAACAGATTCATTTTCTGAATTAGTTTCCCTTCGAGTTATGTATCATCTACCGGCCTAACTGTTATTTATTTATACTGACACAACATTTGATTTCAGAACTGAATATTATGCCAATTTATGCAGTTCTTGACAATTCAAAATTCTTTTGCTCTGACTTTCATGCTCTGTGAAATGGCTTTCTACGGCAGTGTTTTTTGGGGCTAACCAGATAACTGTTAAATTGGCTCCAGAAAAGAAGCCTTGTTGAGAATGCTTGTTATATGGGTATAAATATGTGTGCCTTGTTAATAGATATGAGTATAAAGATTGGGTTTTTCTATGGTTGGTTCGACATATCCTTTGGCGAGAATGGTGATTTCCTGAAACTTTTGGGAGAACCTTGAGATGTTGAAAGGAGCATTTGGTTTCGAATAATTCAAACTGGGTTTTCTGCAATTTAACTTATATTGTTTAGATTCTTATCTAAATTATTCTAGAAGTTATTGATTATATAAACATATATGTTCATAAGAAATTAATATGAATCACATCAATTTCTAGGGCGGATTGCTAGTGCCCTATGATGAATTGTTATGTATATAAATTATTATCATTGACAGCTGCTGGTGTTTATTTAATTGATTATTATTGACTGCTATCAATGTTAAGTGTTGCTGAATCTAATATTTGTAAAAATCCCCACAGACGCTGGAAGTTTTGTTGGGTTTTAAATTGATTAAACATTTTTTAACTGGATTCACCCTTAAATCTTTAATTTTGACACACAATTGTCAGACAATCTAAACAGATGCATCTATATGTTATTAAATGTATTTAACTATATATAGCAGGATGGTGTGATCGGCAATTGGTAGTTACTTATTTTCAGATTATACTGCAATTCTTATCTTTTATTGTCATTTATTTTGAGGATAAGCTTCTAGAGAAGCATAGGCAGATCAGATGTTCTCAGCTTGTGGGTAAATAATATGTAGTTAGCTTTACGATCTCAACAATGATGTGGAAATGCTGATCTGAAGCTAAGGAAGCTTCTAGACTTCTTCCAACCTTGGGAGATCATTACAGTTTTTGAAGAGTTCTTTTAAAATTTGGTTATAGAATATTGCTATAAGACAAATGATGTGTCATATGTACTAGTTGTGAGCTTTCTAGCCTATGAATATGCCTCCTTGATATCACACTTAAAAAGTGTTTGGTTGTATTTCATACATTAACAGTCTTGATGTTAAATAAAAAATGTGTTTTTTTATTGAGTATGGTGATAGCGAGTTTGGTTATCGTTTATGAGATGATCAAACTCGAAACGTTATCAAAAGCAAAGATGTGATCTTCAATGAAAGTGTTTTGTATAAGGACAAGTTGGAAACAGATAGAGTTAAGAAACCTGAGGTGATCCTATTGAAAGATCTTCCAGTGATTTAGTTAAAAAATGTTGATGATGAAAATTGAGAAAATGTAGCCCCAGAATTACATCAAAACACTCCAATGACTCAATTCAGAAGATCTAGTAGTATTACTGGACCTCCAGAGAGAGATTCTCCAACATTACATTATATTCTATTGATTGATGGAGGTGAACTAGAAAGTTATAGTAAAGCTATACAGGTTGATGAATCAATCAAGTAGGAGCTAGCTATGAAGGATGAGATGGACTCATTATTGTCCAATCAAATATGACAATTGACAGAGTTTCCAAAAAGGAAAGAAAGCTTTGCGGAATAAATGGGTTTATCAGTTAAAAAAAGAGCATGATGGAAGCAAGCGATATAAAACAAAACTGGTTGTAAAGGGATTTCAACAAGAAGAAGCATGGACTAAACTGAGATTTTCGTGTGGTGAAATTAATCACAATTAGAGCAGTATTTGAATTAGTAGTCAATGAAGATTTGCACCTAGAGCAGTTGGATGTAAAGATGGTCTTTTTTCATGGTGATTTGGAGGAAGAAATTGATATAATGTAGTCGCAGGGTTTCGAAGTACGGGGAAAGGAGAAAACGGTGTGCAGACTTGAAAAGAGTTTATATGGTCTTAAACAAGCTCCAAGATAGTGGTATAAGAAGTTAAACAATTTTATGGGTAGTAATGACTTTAGAAGGTGTCGGGGAGATCATTGTTGTTTTGTAAAGAATCTTGATAACACCTATATTATTTTGCTGATATATGTTGATGATATGTTGATTGCATCTGCTTGCAAATAAGAAATAAATAAATTGATGACAGAGTTATCCAAGAAGTTTGCAATGAAGGATTCGGGTGTTGCAAAACAAATCCTTGGGATAAGAATTATTAGGGATAGTGATGTCTTGAAACTGTTACATGAAGAGTATGTGACGAATGTGCTAAGTAGGTTCAGCATAGATGATGCAAAACCAGTAAGTACTCGTTTGGCTAGTCATTTCATGCTATCAAATGAGCAGTCACCCTGTATAGAGCAGAAGCGAGCCTACATGGCCAAGGTGCCTTATGTCTCTACTATTGGTAGTCTTATGTATGTGATGTATATGTATAAGATTGGACATAGCACATGTAATGGGAGTTGTGAGTAGATATATGAGCAATCCAGGCAAACAACATTGAGAGTCAGTAAAGTGGATTCTCAGGTACTTCAAATTCTAGCCTTATGTTTCAAAAAATCATGTTCGGGATTATAAGGCTATGTAGACGTTGACATGGCAAGAGATATTGATGGCAGGAAGAGTACTACTAGATATATATACACTTTGGGTGGTACAACAGTTAGTTTGGTGGCTAAGTCACTATTTGGACTGAGTATGTTGCTGAAATTGAAGCTAGCAAAGAGATGATATGGTTGCAGTCTTTTTTGGAAGAAGTAGGTTACAAGTATGATAAGAGTTTGTTGTATTGTAACGTTAGAGTGCTATTCACTTAGCAAAGAATCTTGTTTATCATAAGGACGAAGTATATGCAGGTTTGTTATCACTTCATCAGATCGACTTTGGATGATGGAATCTTAACACTTGAGGAGATTCAAGGGAGTTGAAATCCAACAGATATGTTGACGAAGACTGTTCCGATTGAGAAACTGAAGTTGTGCAAAACTTCAGTTGGACGACTTCTTTGAGGAATGAAGAGTTGTTGCTTCTACAAATGAGTCATTGATAGTGAATTAGTTTTCAAGTGGGAGACTGTTAAGTTGTGGAGCCTAATTCATTAGATTCTGTTTCGGAATTTATGCTCTTTTGAAATTCTGTTAAGGAATTGGAGTTTGGTCGAACTGGCCTCGGGGCAGCAAATTGAATCTGAGCAGGTCTCAGATGCGGCGCGTGGTCCCCACGCGCCGTCCCACGCGCCGGCCCACGCGCCGGCGGGACTACTAGATATATTTACACTTTAGGTGGTACAACAGTTAGTTTGGTGGCTAAGTCACTATTGGGACTGAGTATGTTGCTGAAATTGAAGCTAGCAAAGAGATGATATGGTTGCAGTTTTTTTTGGAAGAAGTAGGTTACAAGTATGAGAAGAGTGTGTTGTATTGTAACGTTAGAGTGCTATTCACTTAGCAAAGAATCTTGTTTATCATAAGGACGAAGTATATGCATGTTTGTTATCACTTCATTAGATCGACTTTGGATGATGGAATCTTAGCACTTGAGGAGATTCAAGGGAGTTGAAATCCAACAGATATGTTGACGAAGACTATTCCGATTGAGAAACTGAAGTTGTGCAAAACTTCAGTTGGACGACTTCTTTGAGGAATGAAGAGTTGTTGCTTCTACAAATGAGTCATTGATAGTGAATTAGTTTTCAAGTGGGAGACCGTTAAGTTGTGGAGCCTAATTCATTAGATTCTGTTTCGGAATTTATGCTCTTGTGAAATTCTGTTAAGGAATTGGAGTCCTAATTATTGTTAAGTTGTTGAGCCTAATTTTTGTAAAATTCTATTAAGGAGTTGAAATCTTTGTAAAATTTGGTTTTGCCCTATTTTATCTTATAATTAAGGAATCCTCCTTAAGTTTTCTATCAACCATCAAATAGAGAGACAAAAGAGAAGTTAGAGAAGATAGGTGTGCAATTTTTTCTTGTAAATTAATCTTTTATCATAGTGAATTACTGCAGCGACGGAGAGTACGTAGTCTCATATTGAAATAAACCTTGCTTGTTCTTGATTGATTATTTTTTTTTATTTTTATTTTTTTGCGAATTGATTGCTCTCTGAGAAATAGAATTAGGGTTTCTAATTTTCAACATCTCATCCATTTGGGGATCATCTCTCTATAGATACAAAAGGTGGAAGTCTTAACATCTGATTTTGATGCGCGTGCATGCACACATATAATTGATGTACTAGTAGTTCTCATGTGCTTTTTTACATATATAGCTAATATGTACTTGGTTCGGATCAAAGGAACCTAGCTTTGTGTTTGAAGGTTGGCCTACTTGTTTTGTTTTGGTTTCTGTTTAGTGAACACTTCCATTGATACCTTATTAAACCATTAACATTTTTGGGCGAAGATATGGTATTATGTATAAGAATGTGGTGTTGACTGAAGGACTAGGGACTGTGTGTAAGAGACTAAAGACTTTCGTTTGTTGAATCTTATTCTTTATGCTTGGGGATGGAACTTGTATACGGGCCAGAGGAATGTGATGAATATTATGATCAACTTCAGCTTTCTGACATAAGAAAGACCTTTTATTCTGCTTTGTCCCATGCTACCACAATCTTTAAATGCCTAATCTAAGAAGTACTGAGTTGAGGCAGACACAATTTTTATTCACTTAATGAATTGCTGAAGATGACCCAAAATTATCTTTGATAAGTTGATGAATGCATTCATTATTGCTGGAATATAAAGTTGCAGTATTAAATCAATTCCTCGAAATATTTTATAATATTTTTGAATTACTACATTGACTTTTTGCTTGGTTGTTTGCTCTCTCTGAAGTTTTACATTCTAATCAATCTCATTTTTGAAGCTATATAGGACTCTTATGACACCTCGTAAAAGAATGTCGTGTATTTTGTTGTACTTCGACTTTGACCTATAGCCTTTAGATTCTAAAGTGCTTATCGAGAGTTCGATGTTAAAGCTATATCCTTCGTTTTCATCAACTAAAACTATAGCATCATTGAATGGCATATACCTAGGACCTCGTCTTGGACGTGTCTCGTTTAATACCTTTGTCATTCTAATTACTTTAAGCATCTCTTTATTCTCACAAATAGGCACTACGAAACTTACCCTATTCGTCTTATATTTTTTTGATCTTTAAGATCTAACAAAATGATTTCATCATCCTTGAAAGACCCATCATCCAGACTTTCTCATCTTGCTTTCAAGAGCCAGACTCTTCCATTAGATAAGTTGTTAATGTATTCCTTCATCTCCATTCTCTCCAACCTTATTTTAATGAGAGAAACTGATGGAAAACTCAATTATAAGTTCATTGAATGTCAAACACCTTTGGGTGAGAAAGAGTAATTAGATAGGAAACTTTGTATTAAATAATACTGGAAATGCCTATCTACAGTGTTAAATAAGTTTTGATTATAATCAGACAATGACTTCTAGATAGGCATTGCAGATTTTAAGTGGAAAAGGACTTTCCAAATATTCAGACGCGTGAAGAAACACCCAATATCTTTTGGAGTTGCGAAGCATGTGTTAAGATTTGGGGTTCCATTTTAAAATGTCAACTTTATTAAGAGGAGTAACGTAAACTACTTATCAAAAAAAATTAAGAGGAGTAACCTAAACTCTTATAAATTGGTCTATGTTTTCATCTTTATTCGATGTGAGATTTTATCTCTTAACATGTCCTCGCAAGATGGTGGCTCGTTTGAGCAGACCAATTTTGAAGTCCGTGTGCTCAATTTTTTTTAATCTTAATTGGATCGAATTGCTCGTTGGAACTTAATGGACTCTGATACCATGTTAAGATTTGGGGACATCTTAAAAGGTCAACCTTATTAAGAGGAGTAGCTCAAACTCTTATAAATTGGTCTATGTTTTCATCTTTATTCGATGCGAGATTTTATCCCTTAACAACACTGATAGGTATCGTGTAGTGATGTTTAACAAAATTGGAAAAGGGATTTATGAGATGTTAATTATGCCTATATGTAATAAGAACTGAATTCAAAGTTAGATGTTATGTAAGACAAAATAAGTCTAAACCTTGACCTTTGCTAACAATCTGTGAAATAAAATATTAGGTGGTGGTGGTCCCATATATGCCCCTGAAGTTTGCTTTGCTGTATCTTTCAGTTACTTCTCCAGGATATCTGAAATAACTCCTTTAATGGTCTTATACAACGTAGGATTCGTGTCGTTGTTGATTGAAGTCCACAAGGATATGAGACTAAGTGCTTGTTTGGGTTTCATTATAAGTTGCTGAAATTATAATGTGATAGAAATGTGTGGTTAAAATTGAAGTTTGATTTTGACCTTTAAATTATAAGGAGCTTGTATTGAAACCCAAACAAGCACTTATGATTAAACTGTAAGTTGTTGAAATTATAATTTGATAAAAATAAGTGATAGATAAGTGAGTAGTAGTTTTGGGTCCTACGAAATGTGTGGTTAAAATTAATGTTTAACTTTGACCATTAAATTATAAGGAAATTACAATGTCCCAAACATGCACATATTAATGATATGGAATAGCGAAAGGAATGTAGTTGAGAATAATATTGAACAGTATTTATATTTGTTTTTCCATGCAAAAACAATTCAGATTTCTGACGTATTATCGAGTCATGTAACATCTTATGAATGCATTTTGCTAATTTTCTTGAGATACAGCAGGTAAATAAATATGAGCCTAGGAAGCATTAAAACAGTGCGGTCTATTGGAAGTGGTTTATATTACTTTTTTCGCGCATTAAGAAATTCTAGAGATGAACCTGAGATTTATGCAATAAATTTATTTTGGTTTGGCAAAATATAAGTTCCATAAAAGGAATCTGGTTTGTCTTTGTCATATATCAGGCGGTTCTATTGTCACATATCTTTGGAGAACATAAAGTTCATTTCTCCATTTCATTCACAATATTCCAGTAAATGACAAATAGTATATGGTTTGTGCAGATGCCTATGTACTTAGTATCCTTTTTCTTATCTTCATTAGTTTATTTCTAGTTGCATTTTGTTAGCAAGTTGTTAAATGCTGCTGTTGTTTTACAAGGAGAGGATCCCCAAATGATGCCTGGAGACTAGTTATATGAGTAATATAACCTAATTGTTTCACATGGGAAAGTTGAAGAAGTTGGTGGTTTTGTGTTTTACAGGGCGCTCAAGGAAGAAAAATATGCTGCTCGCAGGGCAATTTTGCCAATGCTCCAAGCCGAAGAGGATGAAAGGTGATGTATTTTGTGTAGTGTCCTGTTACTAGTCTTGATTATTTTAATCAGTTTCTTTTCCCACAATGAAGTAGCACTTATTGTATTTTTCTTCTTTTTTGCTCCCCTTTCTTCCAGATTTGTCAAAGAATGGAAGAAGTATCTCGAGGAAGAGGCCAGAATCATGAAAGACGTGCCTGGTTGGAAAGTGGGTGAAAATGTGTACAACTCTGGAAGGTGGATGCCTCCAGCAACTGGGGAGCTTCGTCCCGATATCTGGTAAAGATTTGATGGTCCAGTGTCGAAAGTTCTTCTGGTGAATGGATTTTAGCAATAGCATTGTTTCTTTCCCGCGACATTGCACTATTGGCTGGAATTCTTCTTTAAATAAAGATGATGTTGAAAAATCTGTTCACTCTTATTCAAGCTACATGACAGCAATTGTTATGGTGTCAGTTTGCTTCTCCAAAACAGTCCATTTTGCTTGAAAATGTGGCTCTTGAGATCTTCTGGTTTATATCTTTCTTTCACTGTTTGATGAACGCCGATGTGGTTTCTTTATTTCTTTTTTCAAAGCCAATAAGATCTTTATTTGATTACTAGACCTAAACAAAACCATCAATGGAGGGTGGGGTATTCCTCATCCAAGTCCTATACTGATACAGCAAAAGGGCATTCGATGAAAGAGTGTGCGCTACACCATTGACCTTGTGCCTGACTAAACAAACATCAAGTGGAAAACCAATTAAAATCAAAGGAATATTGTGTAAAAGGGCTCCATCCTGAGCATGAATGGGTGGCATCTTCACAGCAGCGATGGCCTTGCTAGAATCTGATTAAATCTTGTTGATTTGTAATCCTTTTAGCTTAGCAAACTTATTATTCACATGGCGCATAGCATTCAGCAGCAAGTAGGAATATCACTTCCTTTTGCAGGGCTATACTTTTAGCCTTTGCATATTCATGTGAAAAAATGTGATTCATATCCGGTATCTAATACTTAAATGGTTAAAGAAATGGTTAAAGAAGTGACAAGTTAACATCTAAAGTAGAGGCTTTATCTAGCTTCTTTTATTTTGTTGACGTAAGAACCCGCAGTCGCTACCCTCTAGCGGAGCCTCGACCACCTCGAAGGGACGGAGGTCCGACCACTGTGAGTATGCACTATTTAAACCCCGCTCCATGTGCAGTTGCCCGACACACTACATTAATTGATAATACTATTGGATTTCAAGTGAGTTAGGATCCCTTTTGGTTTATTAGAACCTTGACTGACTTGAAAAACCTAACATAACATCTAGATATATCAATTACATCTTTATATAATTTTTAATCGTCTAGTAGATGATCTTTTGTTGTACACATCTTATGCGTTTACTTGACTGTGCCTCTAAAATTCCATCACATTTATTGACTCGACAAAAGAAATTATTTTAGTATGGTTGAATGCATTTTTCAGAAATGCCAAATGTTTCATAGTGATAAACATATCCATAATCGATTAGCCTTGAGTGACGCTACAAAATGATATCTATGAGGGACTCTAGTTTTTCAATGTAATGCCTAAAAAGTACAGTATATTGAATTATTAACACACATTTGATATTTAAGCGATGAATTTGGTCTCATCTCAATCATGCATGTCATATTTTACATCTACTATCCAAATAAAACAGAGAAAATTAAATTGTCGATGACTATGGACTAAAACTACTAATCTTTTTGAGCCAAAGGGAAGACTAGTTGGCCGGTTCTTAAGGACATTCCTACGCTAGTTGTCTTATTGTACCCAGCTACAATATGTATATTATACTAGTTGATATACAGATCTAAAATAAATGGACGTGCAGGTCCCTAATTACAACAATAGACTCAAACAATAAAATGGGCATAAAAGCCCAAATAATCACAACGGGCTCATCGACCAAAAACCAATAATTAGAGAGAATAAGTAAAAGGGAAAATTACACAAATAAGGTGTTTAAAAATTGATTTTCAAAAATAAGGTCTAAAATTTATTTATTTAAGAATCAGGTAATATATATTAAATCCCCAATTAATAACCCTAATTTTAACACACACTACTCCCTCCCCTCCATCTCTCGCCTTTCGTCTTCCTCCCCTCTCCTCCCTCTATGAATGGCGCGACGACAGCGTCGCAATGAGTCGGCTCAGCGGCGACACTGCCGTTCACCTCTCTCCCTCACCTCTCGTCTTCTTTCAAAACCTCCCGTCTCATTGTTCTCTCTCTCTCCCCCATCACTTACCCACTTCTCTCTCTAAACACACTCAACTGCAACTTCCCCGGCCAGAAGGAGCTTGAATCGTCGAGATTTGCGACTGTGAAATAACTTCTGTTCGATGCGGCGCGAAGAAGCAACAGCATTTGCGAAACAGATCCACCCACTCCGGCAACTCTTTACAGGAAAAGCACCACGACCAGATCTGGGTAGTGTTTTGTGTGGTGGTGATGGTGGTGTCTTGTGTGGTGGCGATTTTGTTGTGGTGGATATGACGGTTGGGGTGGTGTGATGTCTCTCAGTTGGTGATGTCTATAGTAGTGTTGGCATCGACGGGGGTGGAGGTGGTGGCGGGTTTGTGATAGTTGTGGTGTGGTGATGTCTGTGTTGTTAGCGGCAATAGGGATGGTGGTAGAACTGGTGGTAGTGACGGGGATGAAGGTGGTGGTGGGTTTGAGATTTTTTTTTGTTGGATCTGGTGGTGACGGTTTTGTTGGTGGTGGTGCTGTTGTGGCGACGATTATGGTGGTTTGGCGGCGGTTATGGTGGTGCTGTCGGAGGTCGCAAGTGTTGGTGGTGGTCATCAATTATTTGGTTGACTGTTACCATTAAATTGGTTAATTTGTGACCAATAAATTACGTGTGACCAATGAAAAAGATAATTTGTGACCATGAAATTACGTGTGACCTAAAAAATAATTTGTGATTACTAATAAGTTGTGACTCATAATATTTGTGACTTGTGCCTTGTGACCTATTATTTATTTGATTTGTGACTTAAGAAAATTTTAATATGTGACCGTAAAAAAATCTGCGACTTATAAATTTTCTGATTTGTGATCGAAAAATAATCCGTGACCAATTAATTTGATAAAATGTGACATAAATAAATTGTGACCTATAAATATGCATACGTGACCATGAAATGTATAATTGTGATTTTAATATATTTAATTAATTAACAAATACGTGATTTTTGCAATTTTTAAATTTAAGGTCTGAAAATTGATTTAGTGATAGTTAATATCCGATTTATGATTTTTTTTCCCTAAATAAAATAAGAGGAAATTACACATGTGCCTATTTTTTAACTATTTATTTCAAAAATCAAGTGCCAACATTTTTCTTTCAAAATTAGGCGCACTCCACCCACCCTATTTCATACCTACCTACCTACCTACAAATCTATCTCTCTTTACCCCCTCTCTAGTAGGAACTCCGGTTGCCAACACCTCAATGTCGCCAGCCATCGATGTTACTCCAAGATCGTCGCTCCCCTACTCATCCTCTTCCACAGCAGTTATTGGAGGCGTAGGCGAGCTTTGTTGTTTGGGATTTTACTATTCTTCAATCGTCGACTCTCATTACTTTCCTTGATCTCGTTTTGGTGATGGTTGGTGCGGCTAAAGTGGTCAATGGCATGGATAATGTTCCGTTGTCGTGGATCCTAACGGTGGAAGAGGATTTTATGACATTTAGGTATGTTTGACACTATTTTCTTTACTAATTTTGGGATGTGGGGCCTACACGTCGGTGGAAGAGGATTTTATGACATTTAGGTATGTTTGACACTATTTTCTGTACCAATTGTGGGATGTGGGGCCTACACGAGGGGCTGAGGCACAATCAAAGGTGACTAGTACCCTGTTTGATTCACGTTCTTTCAAAACTCATTCTTTAAAAACTCATTTTCAACCATACATTTTTCAATAAAATAATATTTTTCGTCACATCCAAAACTTTTCCTTATTTCTTAACAACGTTTTTTCACCACATCACTATTTAAAATACATTATTATCTCAATAATGTGTATCAAACACCCCTAGGTGTTGGAGAGATATTTTTGCTGATGGTTATAGGTGGTTCCGATTACTTTGGTGGCGGTTGAGGGTGAATAGGTGGTAGCGACGCCATTAGGGTTTAATCATTTTCTAATTTTCGGATTGGTAAGGTATTTTGGGAGTGGTGCATCGTGGGTGGTGGTGGTACGATTTATTTGTATAAAAATATGTGATTTGTGGCTAAATATGTAATTGTGACCCATAATTTGTATATTTTTTATTTTTATTTTTTACTATGATCTTGTGTAATTTATGACTAGTACATGATTGTAATCATCAATTGTTTGAAATTGAAAATGTAAACGTTAATCAAATTCCTTAAATAATTTAAGGGTACTTAGCACATAACGTCCTTATCTCTCATTGTTATTGTGGAAAATATCATTACCTTCCATTTTTTGGCATTTTTACCATTCTTTTCATCTTTCATTACGCGAAAGGTTATTTTTATCTATTTTTTCAATTAAAACTATGAAATGATAAATATACCATTCTATTTAAATAAAATAAAAATTCAACATTTTCCTACATTTCATTTCGAATAAGTTCATTTTCATCAATTTTCTCAATTATGAGCTATAAAATGTCGAATATATTATTCTATTTATATAAAATAAAAAGAAAAAGAAAGAACTAATTACAACCATAGTCCAAAAAAAAAAAAAAAGCAAACAAATCTCAAGCAAATGATTCAAAGAGTAATTAGCACATAATAACACAACCTTTCACTATTATTGTGAAAAACATCCTTATCTTTCTTTCTTTTTTTGACATTTTCATCCTTAATTACACATTTGATTATGCAAACCATCATTTCTATCTATTTTCATCCAATTTCTCAATAAAAAACTTTAAAATAACGAATATATCCTCTTATTAAAAAATAAAATAAAGAACTAAATGCAATCATAATCCTTTTTTTTAAAATGTAAAAACGAGTTCCAAATAAATTATTAAAAAATTAGAAACTAAAATTCTTTTTAAAAAAGTACAAACCAGTCCCAAATAAATTATAAAAAATTAGAAATTTAAAAATGCAAACGGGTCTCAAATAAATTGTTAAAATTAGAAAATAAATTATTTTTCTTTATTTTTATTTAAATAGGAGGGTATATTCGTCATTTCATATATTTTAATGAGAAATTTGATGGAAATGGATAGAAAAAGATTATTTGCGCAATTAAAGGTGTTGTTAATGGTG